ACGAACTAAGTAGATTCGTCATAGCATACCCAATAGTAACTAAAGATGCTAAAACCATTGCCACAACGTTAGTGGAACAGTTAATATTAAAATTCGGTACATTTAAAACTCTAAAATCTGATAGAGGTACAGAATTTCTAAACGAATTAATGACTAGAGTAACAGACCTAATGGATATTAAACAAACATTCTCAACACCCTACCATCACGAAACAGTTGGTATAATAAAAAGAAATCATAGAGTACTAAATGAGTACTTATTAAATTTCGCAAACGAGGACGACAGGGATAAGTGGATACCGTACTATACATTCGCGTATAAAATCACGCCCCATGTCGACTCTGGATACACCCCACACGAATAGTGTTCGGGAAATTACCTTCGCTACCAGGCGAAAAGTTAAATTTCACGAAATGAAATTTCAATCTAGATGACTACGCTACCGAACTGAAAGCACGTCTTAGACTATCCCTTAATAATGCGAGAAAACTAACTATAGAAATGAAAAACAAAATCAAAAAGAACCAAAAAGTAGTAGCAATCCGATTAAAGAAAAGATAGGTGATGAAATAATAGTAAAACCACAAACTAGGCAAAAAGGTTCAAGTCCATACACAGGTCCGTATGAAGTAATGGATATATAAGGTAGTAATATTGTGATTATAAACGTCACTGAAACAAAAACATTACATAAGAATAACACAAAGTTATACCAAAGATAAAATAAAAAATTTTTTTTTCCATTATTATCGTTAAGATATACCTGAAAATAAGAAAGAAATTGAATAAAAAAATATTTCAATGTTTTAGTAATTTAATTAAACTTTAATTTCACTTAATTTCATTTATATTTCATTTATAAATATTTATAATATTCAGCTATTATTTTGAATGTATTGGGATTTTTGCTAAAGGAGCAGAATATTCAAGTAATTAAAATTTTCGCTAAGGGTGCAAGATATTCTGCTTTCAGCAATTTTCGCAATAAAGTCAGATGTTAGATTTCAAATAATCATTTCATTCAAATTTGATCTGGTTTTATACATTTTTCTTAGAACTTTTAATCCCGTTATAATGGAATTACTTTACTTAACATGTAAGGATGGAAATTTTGTAATAATTTCCAACCTACATAAATTTAGTAAATCCATATTTAATCTGAAATTGAAATATATGAATTAACATTTAACATAGTTATTAGAAACTACTTACCAAAAAGCCACCCAGCCTGCACGCAACTGCAACACGTGAAGTAATCTGAAAATAAGAGAAAATAAATTTGTAATAAATAGAGAAATATATTTTTATAAATAATAAATACATACCTTCTTTATTTATTCCCGTAAATTTATTTTAATATATTTATAAATTATTTATAATTATATTTATAAATAATTCAACGATAAAAAAAAACACTAGCACCGCGCTTTTTATAAAAATGTAAACAAACGTTTACAAATGTCAAAGAAATGTCAGAATGCAATTCGCTGCAAAACATGCACAAGAAAGCTTTAGTGCAAAAGTGATCAATTGCATCAAGTTTAATTATGATCAGTTCAAAGCTTTGTGCACTTAACACAAAAGGTTCAGACGAATGCGTATAAAAGACGACGTATTTTTCAAGCAATTACGAGTTCTTGATTATTCGTCAGTATGGTATTAAGCCAAAAAATTTAAATTCAAAGATATATATATATTTTTATGACATTTATATATATCCATAAAGAAGATATACTTAATTATTTGAAATCCTGCGGTGGTATTACAACAAAGGATTTTTAATTATTAACTATATTGAAATGAATAAAGAAGCATACGGACATATTCTAAATTTTCCGTAATATAAGAATATACCTATGTGTTTATGACGTATATATATCCATATATAAAGTATATACAAAATTATTTAAAATCCTGCGGTGGTATTACAACAAAGGATTTAAAATTATTAGATATATATTTGAAGGTATAATAAATCGCACGGATTAATTAACAACATTCTGTAGCATAAGGATATATATGTTTATAATATATATATATCCTAATAATTAAGGATAATTCTGTTTTCCCCACTAGGTGCCCAGAGGCGAACCACCCAGAATCCAAGACGTTCATCCAAAGATCTACGGCGATTAGCTACGGAATCCACTGCATTTGATCGAAGCATCTACGAAGCTGGTGCACAGGGTTCACGACGCACAATATATACCAGTATCATTAAAGAAAAGAAAATATATAACAATATATATATATGGCATATAATTTTTTATAAACCTATACATATTATTTCTTTGTTTATTTAACTAGGCTCTGTTCTTTACCAGGTGTACCGGTATGAAGTGAGCGTAAAGATACAAATGTTCCGACAGGGAACATTTGTTGTGAACGAGCCATTATTTCTTTTTGTTTGTTTGCTATTACATGTGCGAAATATATTTAGTATGCATCAAGTCATTGAACAGACAACATCATATTTTTTCATCGTGTTAAAAATGTCGAATTTTGTACCAGAAAGTGATGATTTGCGGATACCATTAATTTTTTGTTTTCATTTGAAGAAAAGTGGTGCAGGGTGCATCGAATGCTTGTCGAGGCATATGGTGATCATGCTCTATCAGAAGCAACATGCAAAAGATGGTTTCAACGGTTCAGAAGTAATGATTTTGATGTGAGAAATGAAGAACGTAGAAGACCGCCAAAAACTTTGAAGACGCCGAATTGTAAACAATATTGGATGGAAATGACACTTTGGGTCAAAAGCAAATGGCAGAAATGTTAAATGTTGCACAACAAATAATTTCTGACCGTTTAAAAGCCATGGGAAAGATCCAAAAGTGTGGAAAATGGATGCCACATGAATTGAATGAAAGACAGATGGAAAACCGAAAAAACATCGACTGCAAAACTAGATCGATTCGGCAAGAATACAATGGTCTGTGTTTGGTGGGACCAGAAAGGTGTGGTGTACCACGAGCTCCTAAAACCTCGTGAAACCGTCAATGCTGGTCGCTATGAACAACAAATGATAAATTTGAACCATACATTGATCAAGAAACGACCAGAATGGGCCAGAAGACACGGCAAGGTAATTCTGGTCCATGACAATGCACCTGCACACAAAGCAAAACGGGTTCAGGATGCAATCAAAACACTTGGCTGAGAGCTGCTACCCCACCCGCCGTATTCACCAGACTTGGCTCCTTCCGACTACCATTTGTTTTCATCGATGGGACACGCATTGGCTGAGCAGCATTTTGATTCCTACGAGGAGGTCGAAAATTGGGTGTCTGGTTGGTTTGCTTTAAAAGACGAACAATTTTTTTGGCGTGGTATCCACAAATTGCCAGAAAGGTGGTCAAAATGTGTAGAAATGTGTGCCAATACTTTGAATAAAATGTTTTTTACTTTCCTATTAATAATTAGTGTTTTATTTTCACCAAAAAACGCTCATTTCATACCGGTACACCTAATATTATCACCTTTGTTTAAATAATAAAGAAATAAATTTGAAAATATATTTGAAAATCAAAATCTATTCTTTAAGAAAACTCTGTCCCTGCGAATATAAATATAAATTTATTGTCACGACTTTGGACGACGGCTGAGGATACCCTAGCAAAATTTTGAACAACACTCAGAAAAGTGTCGTTACAAACATAACTTCCTTAATCTAGAATTTTTAACATAAGTATTTAACATTAACTAAGCCAAAACATGTAAAGCCATGTAATTAGTCTCTTTTAAAAAAATTATGAATTCTGAAAAGGTACACGCAATGGGGTAAAGTCAGCAATCAAGCCAATAGCGAACATATTGTATTTTGCTTAGACAGAACCATATAGAAAAAACTCTAAAATCAGAGCAAATGCACATATAACTTCTAGTGCATGCGTAAGTACCCAGTCAGCATTTAGACCAAAGAATACTTTTACAAGAATGGAAACTCCGCCCACTTTAAGCGTAACGCAAAGAAATTGCATACGAAAACTTATTTTTTATATCATTTTGGCACACGTATTGAATACATGTCATCTTACCACGATAACATCAAATTGCTCTCTTTTGGGGTTGCAGTATAATAATTTGTTGGTACTTGCTCATCATATGTTTACATTTTAGTAATATAAAACACTTGTGCGTATTTTATTTGGTCAATAATATCACATTACGTGAACAAAATATATATTGTTGTAATTGTGCTATACCTACTTTTTGGTAACTGCTATTAAAGTGTTTGAAAAATTCTTTATCTAATTTTTGAATATAATCTACGATATATTTAGGAGATTGCGCCAAATTACAGTTATCAAATATTTTTTCCAGAGTGAAAAAGTTTTCATTTGAAATAACATTTGTCAAGGGTAGGTTAGCTTGGCAATTGTGTAATTTGTGAATTTTAATGTATAACCACCCGCATACATAAATAAATGCATTTCTGCTAAAGAATATACGTTCATCCATATCAATATCAACATTAAAATCAAAACAATGAAGAAAACAGTGCATGGGTTTAATAAGCATATGAGACTCCTGCCAGAACGTGTCGATCACTAATGTATGACTGCATACAGTTTCTAAACTCTGATCAGGGGAAATTGGAGTAGGTGAATTAATGGTAGGGTCTACGGTAGAAGTACAGTCAAATTCAAATAATTGCTCAGTATTGCCATTTACTATGCAATTCAAATAATTTAATCCCCATCTCTTCTGAAAAAAGCAAGTGAATAAATGTGGAGTGATCCCTGCAAAATTTCCTCCACCACGTCATATTTGTTCGAAAAAATATTCTATCACATCTTGACAAAGTTTTTTTGTTATATATTTACATAAAGAGGCTTTTTCGAACAGAAGTGAAACAACAACAAAAATTTATTTTTTAAATTATTTTAATTAATTGAATTTTTGGCTGACCATACAGTTATATAATTACTTAATTGTTAAGAATTATTAAGACATGGTAACCCTGTCTTTTATATTGTATACCAGTATTTTTAATAAAGTTCAGTTTGTGATTAAACTCGAAAGTGTACACTTGTATTCTGGGCGCAGATATAACAATTGGCGACGAGGTAAATTAAAAATTTTTATATGATGTCTACGAAGGATGCTTTGAAAAAGCTAATAGAGCAGCAACAAAAATTTATGAACCAAATGATTATTCAACAGCAAGAATGGATGCAACAAATGATTGGAGCGAATAGCAATGATGCTACAAATGTTCCAGCATTTCATAAATTTGACAAAGTAGCGCAGTCATGGCAATCCTACTTGGAACAGCTAAACCAACATTTTTTTGCATATGTAGTGGTAAAAACCGATAGGAAAAAAGCTTTCTTTTTTTTTAAGATCAAACTTATGATAATTTAGTAGAAAAGCTAACGGCACATTTCCATGAAAAAAAGCATGTATTTGCTGCACGTTATGTGATTTTTTTAGGAATACGATGAATCCAAGGCAAACGTACAAAGACTGGATAGCGGAACTGCGGAGATTGGCCAGAGATTGTGAGTTTGTTTGCACTTCGGTTACATGCTCTCACAGTTTTATCGACGAAATGATACGTGATCAAATTATAGCGCGCACTCCTCATGATGCAGTTCGTGCATCAGCGTTACAAAAATTACAACCAACATTAGAAGATGTTTTATTGATCGCATAATCGTATGAAACAACAACAAAAACAGTAGCAACCTTGAAAGAAAAGAGTGATGACCAAATGCAAATACACCATGTAAAAAGTAAACACATAAAAAATGTCAAGAACAACAAATACCAATCGTGCTCTGGATGAAATATTTCCCATTCGAGAGAAAATTGTAAATTTAGCAGTGCTATTTGTAGAGCATGCAACAAAAAAAGTCACAGCCATGCATGTCAAAACGAACAACAGAAGATGTACGGAGGAAAAATCAAAATATAACTCGAAATAATTACAGAGGGCAGCAAATGAAAAAGAAGTATAAAAATGTGTAAAACATAGAATTAGTTGAAACAATTATCAATGTAACTGGTGTGATAAAGAGTGTTAACAATAAATACTTTATTAACGTGCAAATTTTAAATAATAGCATTCAATTTGAAATGGATTCTGGTGCTTCAATTTCTGTAATTAACTACAATACATATAAATTACTAAAATGTCCTCAGTTAAATGAAAGTTATAGACTTATTTATGGCTATGGTAAAGAATCTATTCCCATTGCTAGAGAATTGATTACTAAAGCCAAATGTGGAAATAAAGAAAAAGATGTAGTAATTATTGTTGTTAAACACGAAAACGCAAATAACTTTTTCGGAAAAGATTTGTTTGATTTATTTGGGTTTAAAATACAGCAAATAGTAACCATAACTGAAAAGGAAACGCATAAAATTGAAGGTATATGTAACAAATTTAAAGAAGTGTTCGAACCGGCGTTGGACACAATAAAAAACTTTGAAGCACAAATATTTCGCAATTACTCGAATTTAAATCAGAAGTATCGTAGAACGTTTAGTAAGTGCAGGCATATGGAAGCAAGTAAAATTTTGCAACTGGGCCTCACCTATTGTTCTGGTACACAAACCAGCAATTCACTTAGAATCTGTGGAGATTTTAAAGTAGCTGTCAATAACCAGATCGATATCGAACAATATCCATTGCCAACTAGAGAAAGTTTGCAGCATAAAATTCGATATGGTACATATTTTTCTAAAATTGATTTAAAAGATGCATATCTGCAGATGGAGCTGAATGAAAATGAAATGAAAAGTCTATAATGGTAGTCAACAAGCCCCTAGCGTTATTGCAGTATCAGAGATTAGCTTATGGAACAGCTAGTGCACCAGCAATTTTTCAGAGATATATTGAGCAACTTATTCAAGGTGTACAAGGCTGCGGTAATTATCTTGATGACATCATCATAACCGCACCAACCATAGAAGAACACTTAGAACGCTTGGAAAAAGTGTTACATAATCTAAAACAAAATGGCATACGTTGTAAAAGAGAGAAATGTTCGTTCCTATGTGAGGAAATAGAGTATTTGGACCGGCGTATAAGTGACAATGGTATTTTGCCAGATGAAAAAGGTCTTCGCGCAGTAAACGATTTGAAACCGCCGAAAAACGTCCAGCAAGTTTACTTTATATTTAATAACTTTATACCCAATTTCTCACAAATTTCTGCTCCAATTAATATGCTGCGCCGGAAAAATGTTTGCTTTCAATGGGAACATGAACAGCAAGAAGCGTTTAATTCGTTAAAATTACATATTGTAAATGCAACTCAATTGGCACACTTTCAAGAGCACTTGCCAATTTTATTAGCAGCTGATGCATCTTCATACGGCATCGGCGCTGTCATTTCCTACCAATATCCAGACGGAAGTGAATGGCCAATCGCTTTTGCATCAAAAACGTTAGATGCACATCAAGTTAAGTATAGCCAAATTGAGAAAGAAGGTCTTGCAATAATTTTCGCCGTTAAAAAATTTCATCAATATTTATACGGAAGAAAATTTATATTAATTACTGACCATAAACCACTGACTAATATATTTAATCATAATAAACATTTACCACATATGACATCAAACCGACTCCAAAGATGGTCCGTCATTCTTGTGGCTTATTCATACGAAATTAAATATCGCAAATCTACAGAACATGGTAATGTAGACGCCTTATCTCGCTCGCTGTTAACATTGAGAAGCCACCCTTTAATAAAAGAGAAGTTCTCAACAATAGCTGCGTTTCAGCAAACATGATCTGCTCAATTTTACATGCAAAACAAAAACAATGGGGTGAACCAGCAAATGATCTGGTTCACTTTCTAGTTCAATGTGGCATGTATGTAAAAGATAAAAGTGGAACGTATTTTAATGCAAATGAGGTTGGCAATGCGATGCAACGGTGTAGTAAAATTATAAACAAATCTATGGTACATTTATATATATTTATTATTGATTTTATTTATTTATTTTATGTACTTATTTATTTAACATGTCGTTATTATTTATTTCAAATTAAAAAAACAGAACAATACATAAGGAACCAGGCTCTCCAACATAAACGTTTATAAAAAAACCATTGCAAACTGCTTGCAAGTTTAAGCTATATTCATGCTTCCTTTTGAAATAAGCCTAATTGCTATGGTGAGGTGCATTTATTTTAACATGTGTGCTGTCAATCACGAACGGAAATTTTGCAATTGATATAAGCTAAACACTAGTTCCTTTAATTATTCTCCATACAGAAGCTTTTGGTATGCCAAAACAAATACCAAATTCGCGAAAAGTATTTATATTTGCCATATACCACAAAAATATGTAAATTTCCTTCATTGTACTCGTTCAATTGTGACCACCACGGTTATTTTGTATTTGCTGATTGGATTTTATTAACAAATCTATTAAAATATGAAACATAATTAATATATAGCAATTGTATTTTTTATGCGCAACTACCAATCAAATAATCTTTAACGGAACAATTATTGATCGTTTCCATAAAATATCCACTATATCCATGCTGATGCACTTCATCCCTTGAGCTTAATACACTTGGACTAGTGTTTAAAAAGAAAATGGAGAAGTCAGTTTTGCTCTATAATTCTAATAAAATCTGCAATTTCCATTTATTTACTATAGAATTAAATTTAAGTTTTTAAGTAAATACTAAATAAAAACTTACATTTCATACTTCAGACGTTCAACAGATTTTATTAATTTTCCATTTTTTAGATTTTTTGTATTCAAAATTTTCTCACTTATTTTTTTAGCGCCAAAATTATTCACATAAATTTATTTTGTACACAAACCCAACTGGCATATTTCATGCGTTGCCAATTATTTTCAAACGTGATCCGTATCGTTTCAGCAAAGATGATTCAGATCATTGAGCGGATCATGTTTGCTGAGACGCAGCTGATATTGTTGCCTTTGTTGTCTTCAAATCGAATGGATTTAAGAAGAATTTCGGCTTTTTGCAGAAAATCCAATTGTTTAATTGATCCGCAAAAGCCTTTTTTAAGTCCTAAGCTACTGGTGCTGTTTGAATTGAATACATCAAAAAGATTATTAAAAAACAGAACAAATTCAGCAGTGTTAACAGTACTCGTATTACTTGAATCAAGTAAACCTGGGCCCTGTTGCACCAACACTTTTCACTTTTCACTTTGCAAATTTTTATAAGTTTTTGAGCATTTTTCTCTCATTGACAACATAAAGCATTAATTTGAGAATTGAGTTATGCAAAGTTTTGAAAACACTCAAAAAATGCAAAGCGTTGCACCAAAGTACTTTTCAATGAAAAGTAAAGTATGAAAAGAAAAGTGAAATATTTGACAAAAAACTGCTTTCTTTGCAGTTTCTGTTGCACCAACACTTTTTACTTTGCGCTTTGCAAAAGTAAACTGCAAAACTTTTCAAAAAAACTGCAAATGATTAATTCACTTTGCAAATTTTGCAAAGTGATTTCTTTCAATGCGTAAAAGGAAAAAAAATCATTAATAAATAAATAAAAATAGTTTAAAGAAAATAGAAATAGAAAATTAGTTTAAGCAAATATTATTGCTGTTTTTGAAATAAATTTAGTTGCAATAATTAAAGGGATTTATTACCGGACAATACTTTGAAATTGTGAATTAAAGAGTTATGTTTCTAAAAAAACTTTATAATACATTTAATATAAATATTTTATGTGAATTATTGTTCAAGCATGAACACTTATTTATTATAATGAACAGTTTATTATTATTATAAGTCTGTTATCGTTCAAATTCTCCGAATTGTGAACTAAGAAAAAACTCCTATAATATCCTATAACAGCTAACATTGTAACATTTTTAAATATCTAATTATCCGTATCTAATTATGATAATAACAATATATTTCTAAGGACAATAGAAGAAAAAATCACAAGTGTCTGGACTTGCGTCGTTTTTTGAACCTTGTTTGAAATGTAATTAAAAATAAAATTAAAATTAGTGATAACAGACAACATATTACAGTGGACGTCCAATATAACGAATTTTATGTTGCACCCCTTGTTCGTTATATCGAAAAATTCGTAATATCGAATGCTATACATT